CACGCCTCGTCCCGCCGGCGGCCCCCGCCCCGGGCGCAGCCCCGCTCTACTGCAGCGTGGCCGCCTGTCCCGGCCTGCACGGGCCTGGGGCTCCTCCTGCCCCCTCCCCACTTCCCCTTCCCCCAGGCTGCAGCTTTAGGGACATGGCAGCTGTGCCGGACCCTTCCCATCCTCCACCCTCATCGTCCAACCTCATCCCCCATCCTCCATCCCCATCATTCCTCCACCATCCTCAGTAGTCCGTCCTCATCCTTCCTCCTCCGTCCTTCATCCTCCATCCTTCATCCTCCATCCTTCATCCTCCATCCTTATCCTCCATCCTCCATCCTTCATCCTCCATCCTTATCCTCCATCCTCCATCCTTCATCCCCATCCTCATCATTCATCCTCATCCTCCACTGACCATCCTCAATCCACCATCCTCAGTAGTCTGTCCTCATCCTTCATCCTTCATCCTTCATCCTCCATCCACATCCCCCATCCCCATCCTCAACCCCATGGGATCCTTCCCCCACCTCCTGCCTCCAGCCCCCTCTGACCCGTTGGACTCTGCCCTCCCAGCTGACGCGTGGCTGCACCCGGGTTTGCCCAGCTCTCCCCAGCGCCGTGAGCCCAGCCTTGCCGACGGCCTTGTGGCTGGTGCCTTCCCTCCCGGAGCCAGGGCCATGGCACAACGCCCTGGCTGGGGACGTTTTCATTTCCACCCTGGCCCTGCGCCGGGGCGGGCTGCTCGTGACGGAGGAAGTCAGCCCAGGGATGTCACTGCCTGCGTCTGCGGCAGGAGGGTGCCAGCTCGGGGACATCATAGGTGTGTTCCCTACAAAGGCACCTGACACCCACCTGTGCTGAGAGCATCCTGGGGCTGGAAGAAGCAACCCTTGGCTAATGCCACCCCTCCAAACATCCCCAGGGTGCTGGAAACAGGAGCTCAGCCAGGAGCCAGGCTGTTCCTGGCTCCTCCAACACCAGCACCTGCTCCAGGGATGCAGCTGGAGGTACCACCCAGCGCAGGCAGGATGTGGGCCATGGCAGAGAGTCTGATGGGTCTGGGGGTGGAAAAGGAGACAAATGGCTCTTCCCAAGGGAGAGATGGTCTTTATTAGCCACCCGGCAGATGGTGAGGAACCGGGTGAGGGTGAGGAACACGCAGTGCCAGGCTGGGGGTTCCCACCCAGCTCAGGGCAGTGGCTCGGAGCTGAGCCCAGCCTTCACCCCCAGCCATGCCAAGGTCTGTGCTCCCCAGAACCCCACCTTGGTCCCTCGTCACAAGGGGCCACATTTCGGACACAGCCCAGGTGCCAGTTTAGGAGGATGCTGCTGGACCTGGCTGTTGTGGGGGCATCTCCCGGTCCTGGGGGTTGTCGCAGTGGGATGGCAACAGAGGAAAGTGAGGGGCAGAAGAAGATCCTGCTCTGGGATGCTGACATGGAGCACGCACCCTTCTTGCCAGGTCCCAGCGCTGTGGGTCCCCTCAGCTCCACATCCCCTGCACGGGGGAGCCATGGGGGGGTCCTCCAGAGCCATTGGCTCAGCACAGCAGCCAGCGCAGTGCCTGGGGCTGCTGGCTCAGGGGTCCCGCTGCCACAGGGAGATGTGCTCCTGGGCTGTGATGGGATGCAGAGAGTCAATGTCCCCCGTGCCAGGGGGCTGGGCAGGGCCGGCAGTGGGGCACAGTCCCAGCAGAGCTGGGACCTGGCACCCCTGGGGCTGGGCACCCCCAGGAACGTATGGGAGGTCTCACCGAACTGACAGATGTACCGATTTCGGGTCTTGCAGCGCTGGTCATTCCAGTTGAAGGCAGCTGATGCTTGCATCTCCACGCAGTTCCCAAATCTGTGTCCCAGTGGGAGGGCGGTGAGGCCAGCCAGCGCAGTGGCATGGCGGTGACACCACAGAGAGGTCAGGGTGTCCTCTGCATCCAGTGGGCACTTACCCCTGGTTGTCTGGCTGCCCGAAAGCGAAGCTGGTGAAGGAGGACGGCTCGCCCACGTCCCAGCGGAAGGAAGCCTTGGATGTCTTGTAGGTGAGACCTGGGGGAGCAAGAGGTGGGGTGGCACAGCCAACCGCACCCCAGGCACCCTGCCCACTGCCATCACTCACCGATCCAGAAGTTCCCGGTCTCGAAATCGGTGTCTGTCACCCTGTTACCAGTCTCCAAGCGGCTGAGGTAGAAAGCCAGGATGTCCTGGACCTTCTGGTTTCTGATCTGGGCCAGCATCGCCCCTTTCTCCTGTGGGAAAGGGAGCAGGTCAACCCAAACACATGGCCCAGACCCACACCAGGCAGCAGAGAGATGCTGGGGGGGCTGCGGGCATGGGTAGCATTTTTCAGCTGCAAAGGGATGCCCAAGCATCCCAGGGGCTCACCTGACACTTTATTTTGGCTCCGTAGTAGGTGTCGGCCTCGGGGGACACCATGAAGCAGTTGCCGTCTATCCTCACGTCACAGGCGTGGAAGGGGAACCGGATCTTCGCTGGGGGCACAGGCAGGTGCAGGTGGGTCCCTATGCCGGCAGAGCTGGGCCCACTGGAGGACCCTTAGCCCTGCTGCGGGGGTCCCTGCCTGCAGATCCCTGCCTGCCACCCCGAAGCAGCGCAGACTCACTGCCACACTCAGCTCCCCCGTAGCCCGCGTCGCAGAGGCAGGAGCATTCCTCCTTCCTGTAATTGCCGTGGAGGCACTGCCCACGGAACCTCACTCTGGGCAAGACACTC